GGAATTAGCTGCGGTGGTTTTTTCTTTAAAGATCTGGAGACACTACCTCTACGGAGAAAAGTGTTATATCTATACTGATCATAAGAGTCTGAAGTATCTGCTTACTCAGAAAGAATTAAATTTGAGACAGCGTCGCTGGTTGGAGCTTTTAAAGGACTATGATTTTGAGATAGAATATCATCCAGGGAAGGCTAATGTAGTGGCAGACGCCTTGAGCCGTAAGGCGATATCAGATCTCAGAGCCTTATTTGCCAACTTGAGCTTATTTGATGATAATAGTTTGTTAGCAGAGTTATAGGTTAAACCTACTTTGGCCGAGGAGATTAAGGCTAAACAACTCCTTGATAACTCGTTGCTTCCCATTATTCAACAAGTTAAGCAAGGATCGAGTTCGGAGTATACTGTGGACCAGGATGGTATTTTGTGTTTTCACGGTCGTTACTGCGTCCCTAAAGATGATGAGTTGAGACAGGTTATTCTTCAGGAGGCTCATAGTAGTCCTTATGCTATGCATCCTGGTGGGGACAAAATGTACAATAATCTCAAAGAGCGCTACTTTTAGACTGGTATGAAGAAAAATATTTCAGATTTTGTGGCGAGGTGTTTGACTTGTCAGCAGGTTAAGGCAGAGCACCAGCAACCGTCTGGATTGTTACAGTCAATTAAGATTCCTGAGTGGAAATGGGAGCGTATTACGATGGACTTCGTTACTGGTCTTCCTCTAACTCCTTCCAAAAAGGATTCTATCTGGGTGATTGTTGATCGACTCACCAAGTCAGCTCACTTTATCCCTGTTCGGGTTAATTATTCTCTGGATAAACTGGCTAAGTTGTACATTTCTGAGATCGTTAGACTTCATGGTGTTCCGTTGTCTATCATATCTGATCGAGATCCGAGATTCACTTCCAGGTTCTGGAAAGCTTTGCACGAGGCTCTGGGTACTCGTTTGAATTTCAGTACAACTTTTCATCCTCAAACTGATGGACAGTCTGAGCGAGTGATTCAGGTGTTGGAGGATATGTTACGGGGTTGTGTGATTGATTTTCGTGGTAGTTGGGAAGATTTCTTGCCATTAGTTGAGTTTGCTTACAATAATAGTTATCAGGCAAGTATTCGCATGGCACCGTATGAGGCTCTGTATGTACGTAGATGTCGTACTCCTATATGTTGGACAGAGTTGCATGATAGAAAAACTTTGGGTCCAGACTTGGTACGAGAGACTGAAGATACTGTTAGACTGATCCGTGATCGCTTAAGGGAGGCATTTGATAGGCAGAAGTCATACGCAGATAAGCGACGTAAGGATATCGAGTTTCAGGTTGGAGATCAGGTTTTTCTTAAGGTATCTCCATGGAAGAAGGTATTGAGATTTGGACGTAAAGGTAAACTGAGTCCGCGATTTATTGGGCCGTATCGTATTCTGAAGAAAGTCGAACCTGTTGCTTATCAACTTGAGTTACCTCCCCAACTCAGTCGTATTCATGATGTTTTTCATATATCTATGTTGAGGCGATACCGTCCAGATCCAGATCACATCATTCAGGTTGATGAGGTAGAGCTGAGACCTGATTTTTCATATGAGGAGGAGCCTGTTCAGGTTTTAGAGAGGGAGGAGCGAGTTCTTCGGAATAGACGTATTCCAATGGTCAAAGTTCAGTGGAGTAATCGTAGCCCCTCAGAAGCTACTTGGGAGACATTGGAGTCAATGGAGATTCAATTTCCTCATCTGTTTTCATAAGGTAAATTTCGAGGACGAAATTTCTTGTAGAGGGGGAGAATTGTAACAACCCGAAAATTTTAAAATAATATTTAATTGGGAATTGAGGTTTTAATTGAGTAATTGGTGAAAATTTGGGGATTAAATTGGAAGTTTTTAAAACTTGAAGCTTGTTTAAGAGTTAAAGAAAATTTAGGGACCAAGCCCTGAATTTACCCTAAAATGTTAGGTAAGGGCTGTTATATACGTGAATTGGTTTCTGATTTCAGAAACCAATTCTTCCCAAATTCCCTCTCCCAACCTCAACTTCCGACGACGATCCCGACGCCGTCCGAATTCCGATCGTCATTTAAAAACCACCATCGTGTTCATCATCGAGCGAGGAACAAACCCTTCAATTTAATTGAAGCCAAACGCTGCCAAACGCCGTGAATTTCAAGTCAAAGCATCGACGTTTTTTTAGCTCAATCGCCTAGAAAAATCCTAAATTCATCGCTGATCGTTGCTCCGTTTACGACACCTCCCGCACCATCGTGTTCCTTGTGCCGTTCCGAGTCCGCCGGTGTCATCCTCGACCTCCGTTGACGGCGGCGCTTGGGGAGGTGGATCAGTCAAAGATTCAGCCGAGTCAAAATCGAGCTCTCCGCCGTTCAAAAATTTGAACCGATCTTTGTAAGTATCTCGAAATCGCTCAAAATAATTTTTAGAAATTTTTCCGTGATTTTTAGAGCCCCGGAGGACGTCGCACGCGCCCCACGCGCCGCCGCAGGCGAGTGAACGCTGGAAACCGGTTTTGACCGGTTTGACCGGTCACGACCCGTTTACCCGACCCGACCAGTTTACCCGACCCGACCCGTTTACCCGACCGTTGACCCGACCCGTGGACCGTTGACCGTTGACCGGTGCTATTCTGGGAATTAATTCGGTTTTGGTGCTATTCTGGGAATTAATTCGAAATGGGTGCTATTATAGTAATTTTTCGAAACAAAATGATATTTTGGGAATTAATTCAAAAATGGTGCTATTTGTGTAAAATGTTTGACAGTTTGTTGACCTCCTTTGACCAGAACTTTGACCGACTTTGACCGGCTATTAAACGACCTTTGTTTTCGACCGAGAATACCTATCCTGATAGTGTTCGACGTCCCGAATCTGTTTTTGGGGTCCGTTTTGCTAAATTCAAACCCAAAAGTCTCCAAATCGTCAGTCAAAACCGTTTACTTTAATTTTGACCAAGAATTCGAATTTTCAGATGGTCATACTTTATGTTTTTCGACGTCCTGAATTTGATTCCGAAGTCCGTTTTGCCAAATTCTGACCCGAAATTCCCGAATCGAGCTTGTAAACCCAAAAGGCTTAATATTTTAATATTTTGATTATTTAAATGAGATTTGGTCAAGGATATTTTTCAATAAAATATTTTATGAAGGTACTCGTGTTTCACCTGAGCAAGGATCAATTAGGTCCGGTATTATCCGTTCGTTAGATCAGCCTGAATCGCGTACTACGAGAATTACCCGTAGGTTTCCGTATATTATTTAAATAATATTTAGATTATTTATATTAAGATTCCAATATGGATTTTTCCAATTCGTAGGGTCTAGCGCTGCAGCAGAACGTGATCGACATACCCAGTAATAGGCTTCCCTATCTGATTTCCCAGACTGTTACAGGTGTGTTTCCTAACAGTATTATATTACTGATTTAAATAATTTATCTGAATACCGAGTATTTGATATTTGATTTGCTGTATATTCTGATATAATTTCTGAATTAAGGTATTTCATACCGAATTCTGAGATCTGCTTATCTGATATCTGAATTATTGATTTGAATTCTAATTTCCGTATTTCTGCATATGGTTTCTAAGTATGAAATATTTGTTATGTTTTAAGTGATTAATCATTGTTTTCAATTGAATACATTCATTGTCATTTGGGGGGGTATTGTTGAAGGAAGATTATCTGCAGACTTCTCGACTTTGTGCTCAGGGTCTAAATGGCATGTGCGGTTGGGTGTATGGTTCTGGGGAACCTACACAATTATGATGTGAACGGATGGGGGTAGTGTTCATGTTTTAAAAATAAAAATAAAAACATATTGCATAAACCGATTTCATTGAAAGATTTTATCTGTATATTTTTCTTATATACTGTATGGAGCACACTGAGCTTTTTAGCTCATTCTGTAGTTTTTACCCTTTTTCAGATAGTAGCAGACAATAAGCTAGTAGATTTGGCATCAGTGGAAATCAACTACTTATTTTGTACGAACATATATTTCTATATGTTTTTCAGTTATGTTTGGTGACATGTATTTGCTATAATTTTGGACATATTTGTATTATTAATATAATGTATTGTAAGATATTAAAAAAAAACCTCTGAATGAGATATGTGACCACTTAGGTTTGAGTCTAACTCACAGACCGGGTCCAGGGGTTACATACTATATTAATTCAATATTTTTAGTAATAAATAATTACTTTTAACAAATTTAAATCGATAAAGTTGATTATGGGCCAATTTGATTTGAAACTAGAAAAACATTTAAGTCTAATTTGATTTGATACTAAAAGCTAGAAAATGTCATTACGAATCAATTACGAATAATGATAAACTAAGTGTATTTATATTATAAACTGATGCCTATGCCCCTACATAGTACTGTCCTTAAAAGTACATGTTTTCCCCTTAAAATAATACTAATGAGTTTTAATGCCACAGTCTAATTTGATTTGAAACTATAGTAAAAAAAACTGATGCTCATGCCCCTATATGTTACCCTGGGCCGTCGCCCATTTGGCACATGTATTGGGCCGACCCTGGTACTGATGTTTTGCCTAGTTATTAGTAAAAATCACTATACACTTAGGTTTTTATTTGAACCAATTTCATACTCTCTTGTTACATTTTTCTCGGTTTCTCCCTCTATTGTTCTAAATCGTCAATTAATTTGTATGTCCATCGAAAAACTTTTTTACTTGTAGCACATTATTTTTCTTAAATTTTATTTTAGTGATGTTACACATTTGTATTTTATTGATCAAATAAAATTATTAAAAAACAACATCAAAGTTAAAGAAAGTAAAATAATGTGTAAAATAAAAATTTATTATGTCAACATCATAATATTTACTAGTATAATAGTTTGATGACTAATATAATTTATCTAAAATAATAATAAGCCGAAACCAAATTTAAAAGTTAAAACTGTCCTTTTAAAACTCGGGCCGGGCTTCTATGTTCCCTTTGCACAGGTCAGTTTTAAAATTTCAGACCAATCGGCATGCGGATTTAAAAGTTGGGGCACAGCGGAAAGCAGGAGAGGGAAAAATGGGAAAGCAGAAGCAGGAAGAAGACGAAGACAATAGAAGAGAAGCATCCATTGCTTCAACCCTTTCTTTGCAACCCAATTTCAAGCCTGTCGGAGTCACTCCTCAACAGCTTTCTAAATTCCAAGTAATTTCTTCTACTCCTTTTTTTCCTTGTTTCATATGAATTTGTAGGAACCTAAATCTTTAGCTGATAGTTTTTATATGTTGAGACAATGGGTAGTGAAATATGGGGCATAGTTTATTATTGAAAAAGTAACTGAACCCTGTTATCATCCTTAGCAGATATTTCTCATAGATTTAGATGGCCGTGGCGCGTTTTTTTTTCTGTTTGACTTATCTTAATTATAGTTGTGGATGTAAGAATTTATGTTTTTAGTAATTTGCGGTAAATATTTTTGATGAATATTGAAAGCGGAAAGAATCAAAACCTTGGCCGTGTCTATAATACTGCATCATTATTGCTATTTTGTTATTTAAGGAACCCAGCCCTTCTGTAATCTTTGGAAGATATCTTTCACGAATTTAACCTGCTGTGATGTTTTCTTAGTAGGATTCGGGTCAGGTTTATTGTGTTTATCTCGATTTCAGGTGTTATAAATGTTAATTTTTGTAGGTATCAATGATGAATATTGGCGGTAGAGAGGATCAAATCCATAAAATAGCATCTATAGCATTGCGTTACGACTTCTATCATTGAAACATTTTTGTGGAATTTAGATGATGGGCAGTGAAACCCTTTTCCTTTATGATTGAAGGAACCAAAACCCTTTTGCCATATTAAGCATATGCTTTTTTTATGAAATTGAAATAATGGATATGTCGCTTCAACACTTCATGTTTCCCCCTGTAGTATTAACATCCAATGTGTGGATATATAGATATAACTTCTTTTCATTATATCCATGTCAGACATTACCTGTATTTGATTCTTAAACCCCGAGACTGAGTAACATGGGTCATGGGCAATGAAATCTTGGCTTTAGTTTATGATGACTGATTATCAGGTTTTAAAACTCAACAATTTGGTGTATTTGATTGGGAGTTGAATGGGAAATGTTGTATAAGTTTTAATTGTGCTAGTGTCTAATTGATTGACATTTCCAGAAACTTCGAAAATCTGGGTCTGCTGAGCCTTGTCATATTGAACTACTGGAAATTACCCCTGTGATTTTAGTTCTAGCTTTCTTTGGGTTTGGGTTTTATTTGCTTTCTATATTACTTCAACTCTTCATTTTCCCTTGAGGTACTCATGCCTGATACTTATATCCTATGCATTGATACCAAAATATGACCACCAAGGGTTCTTCAAATACATGAAAAAGCTTTAAAATGTTTTATCATATTTGTGCCAAACACATGCCCTTATCCAACTCTTAGACTCAAGCCTGAGTAAAATGGTTTGCTTCCTTTAAGATATTTCGGGTTCGTTGGGAAAAGTCATAAAGCATATATCTACTTCCTTTTGTGTTGAATTTGAGTATATGTCTGACATGGATATATTCAAATTTCTATAAGATTGTTCATGTATTTGGAATATCCTTAAGAGTATCGTATCCAATACCTATGTCAGATTATGCATCAGACACACGTACTTCAACCAAAAGAAAGAATTGGAACTATATAGGGCTCAAGAGCTGAGAGGAAAACTACAATATCTTAAGTCTTAACCTCTCATTTGTAGGAAAATCATATATAATTTGGGAGAAGTATATCTATTGTTATTTTCTTCATTGCTACAAGCTATGTTGCTATGACTCTTTTCTTCCATTCTTCTTGAAGTATTAATGTTCAATACCTGTGTTTAATGCATATCCAGATATAGGTATGGAAATAATACCATTTAAAGATCTCTAATTACATGTAAAAATCTAATGAAATTAAACTTGCATGTGTTAAATTCTGACCCATGTTTGATACCCACACTCAAATCCGATTAATGTCGGTCGAAAGGATAGCTTCTGGGTTTTGAATGTCCCATTTATTAGTAATCTCTGATATTCTTTCATTTCTACTGCATGATTTACTTCTAATCGTCTTAACATTGTATGCTATAGGAGCTTCACCGGACGCGTTTACAAATAAAAGCAAAATCAAAGATCCACAAGAAACTAAATGGTACTGTGGTTCATATCATTTATGTTGCTCAACTTTTTATTTTTCTTGAAGTATCCACGTTCAGCATTCATATTCTATGGATATCCAAATGTGAATACATTGAAAAACTTGATAAAAATCTAATTACTTGTGTCGGTCCATGCTCATGCTCATTAGTAACACCTCAGTCGAAGTAAAATAGTATATCATCATCAATAACTTTCTATAGTTGGATTTTTGGTTCATCGTCTGCAACCTCTTCTTCTATCTGTAGATCAAACAAAAAAAGTTTAGTACTGAATACTTGAATAATTCATCGTCTGCAATCATTTCTTCTGATTGTAGGTCGAGCCGAAAGGTTTCGTGCTGAATACATGAATTCCGCAGATTCTCAGGAATCGGATTCAAACACCAAAGTTGAACAAGAAAGTGTTCCAAACCCAAAGAACCATGGTGAAGATGATAATCCCTTTTCACTGCAAGACAATGAAGTTGTGCAACTTGCAACAAAAAAGCGGCAGAAACTGCATTGGGGGTATGTTACAAGCTTTCACCTTAGACTGTTTCTTGGCATCAATTCATTCATTAATGGGAAAGCTTATTACCAGGACACTTTTTTTAATTACTCTATCCAATACTATTCACTTTTCAGATATAAGCCTAAGCCATATAAGTTATAACCCTCCAAAGTCCAAATATCTATTTTATGAAAAAAGAAAAAAAAGAACTTATAAAAGTTGAGCATATCATGTTGGATTGCGCATGCATCCAACACTCTATCCTGAGTCCAGACAACATTGCGGAGAAATGCATTCATAAGCAAGAGAATTGCTGCTCCATCTGATGTACTTAACTATTTATATCCTATTTCGGAGATTCGTCCGTGTCTGAAATTCATCCATGAGTACGGATAACCTAACCTTTGTGTAGTGACATGTGCTTTGCACCATGTATTGATGCTCCATTTTATATCTCGTCTTTGTATATTAACAATTTCCAACATTATGATTTGTCCACAGCCTTGATACAAAGGAAAGATGGGAAAGGAAAGCCAACATGTAGACTGAAGAAACATAAAGCTTCGGTTAGATGATGTTGTGCCTCTTATGTTTCTTTATTGAGTAAACGAAAATGATGTAGCCTCGGAGGAATCGATTACTGCATCTTTGAGGCATTTTCTAGTAGTATATTCGAGAATTCTTAATTGGCCGAATGTAAATAGCTCTAGGATAGAATACAATAAAGAAAGGCATAGAGAATGATCGCTTGCTCTTAATAGTCAAGGCTTCAATCTAACATCATGTATTCTTTACTTCAGAACAAATCTCTTTTATTTTGGCATTTAAGATTCTACTTGGCTCAACTACTCCTCTAGTTCAAACCGAAACAACCACCTCAGGTAAGATATGGACATGTTCTCGTGGGGTTTTTTTTTGTCCCGCAAAAGTGAAGCCCAAAGCATGTCTCCGACACAATTAGGTTATAGAGATAACCTTCCAACAATTCTTCAACTGCATTGAAAATTGAGCATTTACTTGTTCATAGAATATACGTATCCGTAGCCGATACCTCCAAAACTGAGTAGCATAAAAATCGAGATTAGAAGTGTGAAAATTTGGGAGGTTCTGATGTGAGGCGTTAAAATACAACTAAAAAACGGTGTGACTGGTTAAATAGGTGACCGGTTAAAAGCGTTACCTGAAATGTTTTATGTTTTCTCCGGAAATATTATTTGTGTTAGTAATAATAATGGTAATAAATGGGAATGTTATATTCGTATGTAAAATGCATAAAAAAATATTGACTTTAACATAACCGATTAATTACTAGAAACATTATTAACCATAATAACATATATGTAGCACATTTTTAAAGTTGATGGGACCTTAGAAATCCGATGATAACAAAATAGGTTAATTATTTGATTTGTTATCAATATTATCAACATAATAGGTAACGCCTAAAATGTTACCAAAGTTTAAGCTGACAGAGCCTTAGAAATCCGAAGATAACAAAATATGTTAATTACTGAAAATATTATCTACCATAGTAACATAACAAGTAGCGCTTATTTTATGTAATAGGTAACTCCTGTTTAAAGTTGATGGGCCCTTAGAAATCCGACAAAAATAAAATATGTTAATTACTTGATTTGTTATTAGTATTATCAACATATTAGGTATCGCCTAAAATGTTACCAAAGTTTAAGCTGATGGAGCCTTAGAAATCTGAAGATAACAAAATATGTTAATTACTAGACACATTATCAACCATAATAACATAACAAATAGCGCTTATTTAATGTAATAGGTAGCGCTCCTTTAAAGCTGATGGAGCCTTAGAAATCTGACGATAACAAAATAGGTTAATTACTTTATTTGTTATCAGTATTATCAACATATTACAGTGTACATTGTTAATTTATCTATTACTTTAAAGTAATAGGTTTCGAAATTATAAGAATCAATACTTATATGACAGGATCAATACTTGTACATTTACGCCTATTTTCATTATACCGATAGAAAAGTTTACCATGTACATTGTTAATTTAGCTATTAGTTTAAATTAATAGGTTTCGAAATTCCATGTATCGATACTTGTACATTTTGAGTGCAAATTGTTTGAGATACAACTAAACTAAAAGTATTGATACGTATATATAAATTATCGATACTTGGCATATATGCCTATGATCATTATACCAGTAAACTTTTACCCTTTACATTATTAATTTACCTATTACTTTATAGTAATAGGTTTCGGAATTAAAAGTATCGATACTTTGTACATGTGTATCGATACTTTTTGCGTGCAAATTGTTTGAGAAACATATTGGAATAAAAGTATCGATTCCTATAAAAAAGTATCGATACGTTATATTTACGCCTATTTTCATTAAACCAGTAGATTTTTACTGTTTACATTGTAAATTTACCTATTACTTTAAAGTAATAGGTTTCGAAATTCTGAGTACATCGATACTTTATATATGTGTATCAATAGTTTTTGCGTGCAAATTGTTTGAGATGCATACTGAAATTAAAGTATCGATACTGATATAACACAATATTGATACGATGCATTTACGCTATTATCATTATACCAATATACTTTTACCATTTACATTGTGAATTTACCTATTACTTCTACAATGCACTTTATATATGGGTTATCAGAATGTTGGATTTACACATAAAGACCTCTACAATGCACTTCACAGAGGTAAAGCAAAGGCAATCATCAATGGGGATGTCAATGCACTAATTGCTTACTTCAAACCGGTACATAGAGAATTGATACTTGGAATTTCAAAACCTATTACTTTAAAGTAATAGGTAAATTAACAATGTAAACGGATAAGTTCATTCTTTCTCAGAATCCCTCAATCCAGAGACACAACACCATGTTTTATGCAACTACGAGCCCTTTCCATATGTTCCCTTGTATAATATACTTGAACCTTGCCAAAAAGTCTATAAAATAGAGTCTCCATCAAGTCGTGGCCGAAATCAGTTTTGTAGTTGGGATTATCCAGGTTAATCATGTTGATTGCACAACCAATAAAACTCGAAGGCAGTGTCCAAATGGTAAGTAGGAACTGGTAAGACAAGCTTCCTTTGAGGGTCATTGAATTCAACCCCTCCCAGGTAAGGACTGCATGATTGAACATTACATAGAATAGTTGTATTCAGTTCTTGAATGTGTATAAGAATAATTGTATTGATCTCCGTTAACATTTCGAAACCAATAAGTATCATGCATGCAGTACCTTATATCCTCGAGGCAGACAACAAGAAATATGTCAATTAAAGATTTACCAAGAGCGGTAGCTTCTGCACGAAGACTGAACCTAGAATCAACTTCGCCATTATGCCCATACTATTCAAAAGAACCTGTTGAATGATAGGATTTACACACGACCGCGAGCATTTGATCTTCACCCAAGTATGGGTTTCCCCGGACATCTCTGTTGTAGGATTTTAGCCGAGTACTTGGGTGAAGATCAAATGCTCGAGGTTGTGTGCAAATCCTATCATTCAGCAGGTTCTCTTAAGCAATATGGGCATAATGGCGAAGTTGATTATAGGTTCGGTCTTCATGCAGAAGCTATCGCTCTTGGTAAATCTTTAAGTGGAAGATTTCTTGTTGTCTGCCTCGAGGATATAAGGTATTACATGCATGATACTTATTGGTTTTGAAATATTAATGGAGATCATTACAACTATTCTTATATACATTGAAGAAAAAATATTCAAGAACTTAATACAACTATTATATGTAATGTTCAATCGTGCAATCCTTACCTGGGAGGTTCAATGACCCTCAAAGGAAGCTTGCCTTACCAATTCCTAGCTTACCATTTGGACACTGCCCTCTAGGTTTTATTGGCTATGCAGTCAACGTAATTACCAGCTTCCTTCATCCTTTGACATTTAGTCATACTGTCAAAATTTGAAATTTGTAATCAATTTAAAGTTCTTAAATACTTTAATCCAAATACCATTTCAACAAAACTTACACAAATATATTGATACTTACTAGAAGTACATATATCTACCAGTGGTTGCTTTTGATTTTCTTTAATGTTGATACTCTCAGGCTCCATTTCAATGTCATATTCGCGAACAACAATTGCACTTTCTACCTATAACCGATCCCAAATGCTTCTTTACTTCGAAAACCTAAACCCATAAACCTAACCCCTATTTCTAAATACTAAAAAACTAAAAAACTAGGGTTTCAACAACAAACCTTTCGATTTGATTGCAACAACAAACAAACAACTACGCTTTCAAAAACTTCGTGCTTCTATTTCACAGTAACTAATACGCTTCGATTTCAAAAACAACGACCGTCTTCTATCTATTTCTCTGTTAGCAATGCCTTTGATATTTTAATCGATTATGTTATTTATATTTAATCGATACCATTACTCAAGTCTTGATACTTTTGTGTAAGGTATCGATACTTTCGAGACATTTTTCTTATTGCAATTCTTTTCAATTCCTAAAGTACTGATACTATGTTACATAAACGTATCGATACTTTCAACAATTTTGATATCTCTTTACCAGTTTTGTCAAATAAAAATTGATTTTGTCAGATTTCAACCTGTTATATTGTCATGTATTGATACATGTGTCTAAGGTATCGAAACTTTACAGGCGCAATTATTGTAATTCTTTTAAATTCCTAAAGTATCGATACTTTGGTGCATATACTTATAAAAGTATCGATACTAATGTCAACCATTCTGATATCTCTTTACCGGTTTTGTCAAACTTCAACATGTTATATTGTCATGTATCGATACATGTGTGTAAGGTATCGATACTTTCGAGATATTTTCCTTTTTTCATTTCTTTCAAATTCCTACAGTACCAATACTTTGGTACATATAAACGTATTGATACAAATTTCAACAATTATGATATCTCTTTACCGATTTTCTCAAATTGAATCTGGTTTTGTCAATTTTTAATCGTTTAGTCAAATTCATTACCTTTACAATAATATTGATATCTATATAGACAGTATTGATACTTATCCTACTATCAATATACTGATAGACTTTTACCGTTTACATTGTAAATTTATATATAACTTTAAAGTAATAGTTTTTGAAATTTCGCATATCGATACTTTATACATGTGTATCGATATTTTGTGCGTGCAAATTGTTGAGAAGCATATTGGACTAAAAATATCAATATCTATACAAAACATATCGATACTTTATGTTTACGCCTATTATCATTAAACCAGTAGAATTTTATCGTTTACATTGTAAATTTACCTATAGCTTTAAAGTAATTGGTTTCAAAATTTTGCATATCGATATTTTATACATGTGTATCAATACTTTGTGCGTGCAAATTGTTGAGAAGCATATTGGACTAAAAGTATCGATACCTATACAAAACGTATCGATACTTGATGTTTACGCCTATTATCATTAAACCAGTAGACTTTTACCATTTACATTGTAAATTTACCTATAACTTTAAAGTAATCAGTTTCAAAATTCCACGTATCGATACTTTATACACTGTATCAATACTTTGTGTGTGAAAATTGTTGAGAAGCATACTGGACTAAAAGTATCGATACCTACACAAAAAGTATTGATACTTGATGTTTACGCCTATTATAATTATACTAGTAGATTTTTACCGTTTACATTGTAAATTTACGTATTACTTTATAGTAAGAGGTTTCAAAATTATAAGTATCGATAATTTGTA